TCGTCTTTTGTATTGCGCGATGGCGAGATTTATGGAACAATCTCCTATCTGGTTGAAGGTCTCCCAATAACGACTGTTGTAGGATCTCAACGTCTCATTGTCGCCCATGTCAATGGAGAGTAGCTGATCGATCTTTACTGGCGTCTTGGTGTTCGTTCTGAACCTTGTCACGAATGCCTCTGCTAACTGTGCCCAGGAGGCTATGCTGCCTTCTGGTAGCCTTTCGAACCAGGTTAAACCTACGTCGCCAAGGCTGGATGGAAATAGGATGCACATCAAAACCTCATTCTGCCGGTATACTGCCATGACCTGGCGAAAAGTGGCTTAGGTGTATGTAAGGGTCTGTCTTCCCCTCGTACGTCGTAAATTTAGGCTGGATGAAGCCTGAAGGTAATGGTGCTTTCTCAATCGCCGGAACGAACGGCGAGCTATGTAGCCTTGCCAATGCTTTATCTACTGGTTCGTAAGCAAGGTGCGGTATTGGCATTCCTACCTCGACGCTTCCATGCGTCCAAGGAGCCAATCGTTGAAGGGATGAAACTCTGTGTGGGTCGCGTGCCCTGGCATCCTTCTTCCGTCGTGCCCTTTCTTCAAGCACAGTCCGTAAGTCGGATGATCTAGGCAACTTTGTTTGCCTAGATGATGTCCGGTGCGTATGTGAGGGTCGATAGGTGCTTCCCTCAGTGTAAGACCTTTATGATCTCGTTCTCTCAGACCTGGAGTAACGAGTTCTAGAAGTCCTTGATTGAGTATCGCCTGTTCTGAGGCTCTTACTCTCTTCGTGCGATGGTGTGGTATGCCTACCACGATCTTTAGAGTGGCGAGGGGGCGTATTGCTTTTGCGCCCCTCTCCTGTCGCCACCCCATTCCCTTTTATCTGGCGCTTCATCAATTCCATGTCCGCCGCCATCTTCCTGATTAACTCGTCCTGCGCCTTCACCCGATCCTCTAAAACTTGAGGGTCGATTCTCCGCCTCTGTCTGTTAGGACTTGATGAGCGACGGGAGCTGTTACACCGCCTTCCCCTCGCATCCCTCCGGGGATTCTGTTGCTGGGGCTCCAGATTTGCCATGGGAGGGATGGAAGGCAAACCTTCACGCCTCCCACCTCCCTCAGGGGTTTGCCCGTTAATGGCGAACTGTGGCAAATCTTTATTGTGTGCCATTGCGTCTAATTTAGTGAGGAACACTTTGATCAAGAGGTTTTGTTCTTCCTGTGATTCCCACAGATGACGCCAATTGTATGAGAAAGAAATAATCTTCTTGTATAATCCTGTTGATAAAGTCTATGCTCCTCAAAACGACGTCTCTTTACTCCCTGAAAACACAAACGTGAGCTAGCCGGCGGGTGTGTGCCGGACACCTCTCTGATGCCTAAGTCAGCAAAATAGACAAAAGCTCTGTGTATTCGAGAATCAAAGTTGTGTTACATCTCCATAGGTGATGTCGTGAGCTTTTATAGGTTCCGTATGACACAATCCAAGCAGGACTCTTACTCCTCCATGTAGAGTCCTCCTAGGAATCACCTTCTTGAAAGATAATGCTTATCCTTCAACACCCCTCTCACTGCTTAAACCAAGTGAGATGGTTCTACCACGGTTGGATGTCAATACGACCGAGATAACATGGCCATGCTAAATCCGCAGACTAGACCGAGCTCCTACTTAGCTCGATTTTTTCTTTTACTGCGTGTACCTCGGTTTGACATATTCCAACTGTGTTGTCTGAGATCGGACTAATCACGTCGAGCTTGGATTGAGCTAACCAATAGCAAGGTTCTGCGGAAAGCTCAACATACTTCGGCATAATATAGTACGACCAAGCTAACTGTCATTGCACTGACCGTGGTGACCGAGCTAACCACCAAACTCCTTCGGACTAGGCTATTTGCAAGGCTCCTCTGGACCGGACTAATTACAAGCCCCTTTTACTCAGCCCTTCTTACTGTGGCCCACAGAATGGCCCATTACCCAGCTCGGCCCAATTTATATATAAATTACCCTCTCAATAAATAAGTTATATGATAGAATAAATAAATAGGATAAGAGCATTGTTATTGAACATAAAAAATTAGACTCAACTTTTAAGTTCAGTAATGTGACAATTAATTAAGATATTAAATGTAACATTTTCTCTCATATTTTTTCTAATTATCAACAAATCATATTATTTACATATCATTAAATTTAAAAAATAATTTTAAAAAGTGAATTTTTATATCATTTCTCATAGGTTAAATGATTTGATAAAAGAAGCGATTATGTCTAGTTAGAATAAAATAAAAATATATACTAATTATTTTTTATTATTTGATGAAAGATGGAAATAATATGAAGATCCCTAATCTAATACCCCGTAAATGAAAAGAAACCAAACTCGTGACCTCGGCTTGTTTGATTTGGCTGATTATACCATATGATTGAGATTATGGATCTTTGAGATTCACATTTCATTGTTTAGTTGTAAATCCTATTATTCTAATTAGATTTCAATGACCATTTTGTCTAACAAAATTGATCGAATTCTTAATCTTGCTACTAATAATGCAAAACATACATATAATTGAAATTATATATTTCCATATTTATTGCGAAACAAACATAGGTAAGAGGGAATTGTGTATCTCACTAATCATCTGGATAATCAATTTTACACTAATCTTATAGATTGTTAATACCCTCACTATTAATCCTGCTAATGAAACATATGCCTATAAAGAAGTATAAGAGTTTTGGCTAACAAATTAATCCAATTGATTATCCTTAAGCTTATTTTATTTTCAATATTTTACTTTCTAGAGACATCTAAAAGTAGTTAACAATAATGATAGAAACCCCCACAAAACACAACCCCCAAAATGATTTGGACCATTCATGTCATTATCAGAGATAGAAAAAAAATAAAAATTCAAACACATCAATGGTCAATACATCAGTGGGGGTTGTGGGGGTCCTCATTTGTGGGAGTCGCAAACATTTTCCATTAAAGTTTTAATGTTTTGGGTGAATTAATATTCCAAATTTATGTCTGAATATTTCCAAATTTAGTTTGTCCCCACGTTCGAAGGTTTCTCATTCATTATTTGTCAAATTACATAGCTATTATATCATAGTTTCTAAATCAAGTTCTTTAGTGATGATAGACTAGTGATGGTTCCAATTTTGAACTTCCGGTTGATAGTCTTATTGTTTTAGTGACAATCAACATATCAGTCATTTGTAAGGAATTTTTTATAGGTGGGTCTATATAGATTAAACAATTATGCATTGTATACTATTAAATAAAGTATGAGTAGTGTCAGTTAGATCCATTAAATTATGATATATACAGAAACATGACAAGGTCATTGACATATCTCTAATATTACATATTTTTTGTCATGATAGGTGCACTAAAAAAGTACGAGTTAAACTATATGTGTAGAGATCAGTTTAGACCCAATTATAATTCCATTATTTATGATGGATTAATATGGAATTGGGGCTTTATAAATATGTGGTTGATGTTTACACTCCAACCCTAGCCTCCATATCATATTTTCCCATCAGCGTGTGAGAGAAACATGAGTAGGGTTTTAGAGTGTAAGATAATAACCACCAAGAAGTCTACCGCTTGAATTACTTTTATCAATGGTGTCAGGTACATAGTTGTTATTGTTTTCTTCTATTGATTTGACTTGAGATCTTGGATTTAGATTTCTATTAAGAAATCTCATAAGTAGTATCAGAGTCTTTTGTCAGATCATTGAAGAATGTAGAATTTTATTTTCCTTGATTTATCAAATAAGTTTTTTATTTTTTATTTTTTATTATGGTGAGATATTGATCTGTATATCTATATTTTGTTTTTGCTTCCGCATTGTGATATTATCCGATTAATAAACAAAACAATTTATATTACTATGATATTACGTGCCTGACATGAATCATGGCCCTAAAGAATATTGGCTTAAAAGCATAGTTTTGTTTTGTAATTTTCTATGTTATTGAAATATAACCTATGTGCTGGTTGTGTGTAGGCTTGACCCTGAGATTTTCGGGGCCCAAAACCAATAATGAACTAATAAATATCACTAGATCATTTGAAGCCCTTCAAATTTTTTTTTGAAGGTAAAGAACAAAAGATTTGTATCAAAAGAGTTAGGGTTAGGAATTAGATAGGGAGAGAGTGGGCACTTTTAATTTTGAATGGACTTTTTAATTTTTCAATGTGTCAATTTATTTTAAATTAGTTTGAGCCTTATTTAATTTTGTTTAGACTTAAAACATATCTAATATATTATACTAAACTATAATAGGAGGGGGTCCCTTTTTTGGGTGTATTTTGAAAGGCCCTAAGCCATGGCCTAGTGGGCCTATGCCTAGGGCCGGACCTGGTTGTGTGTCGCGTGTTGGATGCAGTATCTCGAGTTTTTTTATTATTCAAAGTATGTTCATATTATTATGATATTTTTAATAATAATATTGTTTCGTAGTTGTGGCTCAACAAATTAATTCATCAGGAATTAATTAAAGTTGTTTTGGGGAAGTTTTTTCGCAATTCATACCTAAAACTTAAGATAATTAAAGGGACACGTGCAAGAGAAAGTGATGTTAAAACAAGAAAATAAGTTAAATAACACGGAATTTTTTGCGACGACAATGATCCCGTCGCAAAAAATGATCTTTTGCGATGGTATTTTCAATCGTCGCCAATAAATACCTTTTGCAACAGTAGTGACCCGTTGCGAATAAACATACAAGAAAAGATGTGTTTAAAAGTGAAAGTATTTGCGACGCCTTGCGTCCCGTCACAAAACCAACCTTTTTGAGACGGAAAAAATTTACTGTCGCAAATAGAGAACAAATGTGATTGTAATTGTCCATCACAAAAAAAAACTCTTAATAAAACGACGGCATTTTATTTGTTAAATTTATTATTTGTGACGGTTGAAATATGCCGTTGCAAAAAGTAATGAAATTTTTTTATATCCCGTTCTTTAGCCCATTTGCGCTCATTTTCCCCAAAATCCCTATTCGAGCTCGTTTCCCCCCAAAATCCCTAAAACCTTTGAAGCAAAAAACCCAAGTGAGCAACGACGGTGGAATTTTGCTACCTTTGAGGCGTATTGCTTGCGACGAAGGTGGAATTTTGCTCCGAGCAGCGAGTAGCGACGACAGCGAGCGACGACGGCTAGCAGCAGTCAGTCTTAATCGCACCTCTCTCACTCACTCAGCCAGTGACGACGCCTGTATGCTCTCTCTCTCTCTCTCTCTCTCTCTCTCTCATTCTTTTCCATTGCATCAATCGTCCTCTCCTTTTCCATTTTCCTTCCAATTCTTCGCAAACAAGGTGTCATTATCGCCATTGTTCCTCCACATTTGTAGAGAGACAATGGAAACAGATGAAGCTCAAAGGGTTCTTCCATTTCAGCTTCAGTTTGACAAACCACTCCCTTCTCAGGTATCTTATCTCTCTCCCTCTCTCTCTCTCTCTATATATATATATATATATGCAAGTGTAAAGTATATGATTACAAGTATATTGTATAGTCTGTGACACCCAGTTGTTTATTTTTCAATTAATCCATTTGTGAATTGACAGATTAAAATAGCAGAATGGAACCCAGAAAAGGAGTAAATCTCACCATGGTTACTGAGGACTCTAAAATTCTTCCCCATCGTTTCAATTGGCAACGTTGGACTGTATCCCCAGGTGAACCCTTTCTCTCTCTCTCTCTGTGTGTGTGTGTGTGTGTGTATATATATATATGTGGTTATGTTTGTGTTGTCATTGTGCTTTTTAGACCAAGTAGAAATGTTTAATGTTGGAGAGAAATCAAATGTCAACAACTTTATGTTTTGTATGGAATGTAAGTGGTGTGCAATCAAGGAGTGTTGAGTTGAGATCAATAGATTTACACTTTGGGATGCTTGGTAGCTAGTTAGAATGTAGGGAACAGGGATAGGGTTCAAATGCCTGCTTTGGGAGTGGGATTGTCGTAGTGTTGTGTTCGAGGTGGCATTGTGTGCAAGATGTTTGATGAAATGACAATATGGGCATTTGGGATAACAAACAAATGTTGGGTGGCTTGTTTGTGAAGACAAGCAGGGGAGAGAATATTAGGGCAGAGCCAACACTCCAAAGATGGAAGGTATGGGGTGGGTTAGGTTGGGTTTAAACTATTTAAATAATTATTTCAAAAGTGTTTTTTGTTTTGTTTTGTTTTGTTTTTTAACTTCTTATGGACTTGAAAGAATTATTATATATTTTATGTAGGAAAATGCATAATATCCTTGTGTTGGCGTCCCGAATCTGATGAAGACCAAGAAGCATCAAGTTTCCACTTAAGGTCAAGATTTCTCATTTGAAACCCAATAGCAGCTTCTTTCAATCTTCCCATTGTAAGGAATAATACCATCTGCAATTTATTTCAACAGGTTGTTGACATCTGATATGTGTTTCTGCTCCCATTGTGACAAAATCATTTTCAAACTTCCTCACTTTACCCTTTCAACCATCAAAAACTCTCATAGTAAGTCTTTGTTAAAAAACAGGGCAATTATATGTTAACTTTGTAGGGGAAAGCAAGTGCTTATGTTAACATCTACGGATCACCTTTGTGAAGGTAGTCAACTAAATGAGTCATAGACGAGGGCATGGAAGATCCATTTGCAATGCTATAGATATCCAGAATTTTCAACTCCACCATGGCTGTATTGGACCAATTTTTAAAGAGTTCACTTCTTTAATGAAAATTGAGATCAGTAGACAAATGATAGACATCTTGTTTAGTGTGTGGGTTACATGTGCATTAGAGAGAGACATAGAGCTGAAAAGTTTGAGAAGTTTTGTTTGGGGTAGCGTTGCAAATGAAGGTTAATTGATAGCTGACACAGATAACATACCAGAAAGAAAGTTCAGCTTACAGAATGAAGCTGCAAATATTATATTCTGAGTGCTAATCGCATCCTCCTAAGTCCAAAATATTGACAAAATGTTCTAAAGTCATTTTTTTTTTCTTGTTTAGAGAAGTGATGCTAGTTTATAATATGTGAGCCTTTTAAATGTTGCTAAAGCACAACCTTTAAGATGCATATTTTGGGTAATACAGATGATATTGATACTTTTTTTTGTTGACTCTTGTGCTTGTTTCTGTATGACTTTTGTTGTAGTGATGAAAGTTTTCCCTTTTGAACCTCAAGAATTTTAATGTATGTCTGATTATGAGTTTTGATTTATCTGATCGAGAAAATGTACATAGTCAGTGCTTGCTTCTCTAATACTTTTACTAGGACTCTGAAATTCAAGGCAAGTTAACCTCTGTAGTATACATGTTTTTTTTTAAATGTCTTTTATTCACTGCAGAATGGAAAGCTGTTGCAAAGCATAAAGTCCCATTCTGTTGCTGTTGTGTGTCTTAACTGGGAGGAAGATGGAATGGAGTATGCATTTCCTTAACTTTTGTCCATATGGCTTTTGTAGAGCATGTAACCATTATGTATACATAAAGTAATACTACATTTCTATTATCTACTTATAGTATAAACATTTTACAAAAAGAAATTGAACTGATTTGTTCCTGTAAGATTATGTAGGATTTGGCCTTAATTGATGGAAATTCATGGATCGTTAAGATCAGAGAAAGGAACTTTAATGTAGAAATTTATTACATCAGCTTTTAGATATTTTCAGTCAATTGAGCCTTATAATTGTTTGTTGGAAAATTAAGATTGTTTAAACTGCAGCTTCTTGTGATGAGAATCATGAGATATCAACTATGCAAGGTAGCTTGGCTTCCTAAAACAAATTAAATTGGCATTCTCATTCCCTTTGTCTGTAGCTTTTTGATCCTGAATGCATTTTGATTGCGCTCCTACTCACAGGTAATATAGTAGTCAATTTGAGAGAACAAACGATAAGTGTTTTTACAATTGACAAAATACATGAAAAACTTAATTCGAGTTTACATATATGAGTTTTAGCATTCTCATGTCTCTATTCCCTTTCCATTATGTACCATTCCTATTTTTTGGGCAAGTGTGCCATTCTACTGGATAACGCTCTGGAAATATAGCTTCTATTTAAGTTTCATGAGTGGAGATATAGAATAATATCTCTCTTAATTTCTTGGCAGATTGAATGATCATGTGCCATAGGGTTTTATTGAATGTTTTCTTTATGTTTGGTGTCATTTATTCAATAGCATTTATGAAATTCTGAGGTACATGTTGAATTTTTTCATCTTTTTTAAGCCGTGGCTAGAAGAAGAATGAGTAAATCTTTTGAAACATGAATAGATCTTTTAGCAACTTCTGTAATAGAGGGCTTAGAATTGCTATGATATTGTTCACTTTGAGCCATGGATAATTATTTTTCCAGGAGGGAGGATGGTTGCGGTGGTCATGGGGGTAACAGACTCACGCGGAGGAGGAGGCTACGACAGTGGCTAGGAGGGAGAATGGCTGCAGTAGTGGTGGGGAGGAAGGGCGCGGAGTTGATACAGTGGCAGGGAGAGAGGGGGCTGCAATGGTGGTGGGGCTGGTAATTGTTTGGTGGTGTTGGTTAGGAAAATCGTGGGCAAAAAAGACTTTTTATCATATTTTTGACTGAATTGTAAATAAGTTCCTAAGATAAAGACTAGAGAAGAAACTTAAACTTCTCTAAATTTAAATACTAGTGAAACTTCACTAGATTAACGTTTGTAGACTAGGACCAAATGAGCTAAGAAACTTCATTTTATTTCTACTTCATCATCTTGATGTCAGATTTCGGTTTCGACAAACTAGTTTCTTAAAAAACTTAGAATTTGACAAAATCACCAAACGGTGTCGGATTAGCACGAAACTTGGCACACACGACCGCCTAGGCACAAGAGACTTGTGGGAGAAGACGATACTTGAATCGGGTGCACGGTTTGGGAGTTAGAGTTGGATTTCGGTCTCGGCAAACTAGTTTCTTAAGAAACTTAGAATTCGAGGTGTTGAAGCCTCAAAATCACCATACGGCGTCGAATTACCACGAGACTTGGCACATACGACCGCCTAGGAAAGAGAGACTTGTGGGAGAAGATTGGACTCAAATCGGATTTTCGGTTTGGGAATTAGAGTCGGATTTTGGTCTCGACAAACTAGTTCCCTAAGAAACTTAGAATTCGAGGTGTTGACGCCCCAAAATAGCCAAACGGCGTCGGATTAGCACGAAACTTAGCACATATGACCTCCTAGGCACGAGAGACTTGTGAGAGAAGACGAGACTCAAATCGGATTTTTGGTTTGGGAGTTAGAGCCGGATTTCGGTCTTGACAAACTAGTTTCTTAAGAAATTTAGAATTCGAGGTGTTGACGCTCCAAAATCACCAAATGGCGTTGGATTAGCACAAAACTTGGCACACACAACCGCCTAGGCACGAGAGACTTGTGGGAGAAGATGGGACTCGAATTGGATTTTCGATTTGGGAGTTAGAGCCGGATTTTGGTCTCGGCAAACTAGTTCATTAAGAAACTTAGAATTTGAGATGTTGACGCGCAAAAATCACCAAATGGCGTTGGATTAGCATGAAACTTAGCACACACGACTGCCTAGGCATGAGAGACTTATGGGAGAAGATGAGACTCGAATCGGGTTCTTGGTTTGGGAGTTAGAGCCGAATTTCGGTTTCGACGAACTAGTTCTTTAAGAAACTTAGAATTCGAAGTGTTGACGTCCCAAAATCACCAAGTGAAGTTGGATTAGCACAAAACTTAGCACACGACCACCTAAGTACGAGAGACTTGTGGGAGAAGACGAGACTTTAATCGGGTTCCTAGTTTAGGAGTTAGAGTCGGATTTCGGTCTCGGCAAACTAGTTCCCTAAGAAACTTAAAATTCGAGGTGTTGACGCCCCAAAATCATCAAACGGAATCGGATTAGGACAAAATTTGGCACACACGATCGCCTAGGCACGAGGACTTGTAGGAGAAGACGAGACTCGAATTGGGTTCCCGGTTTAGGAGTTAGAGGCGGATTTCGGTCTCGGCAAACTAGTTCATTAAGAAACTTAGAATTCGAGGTGTTTATGTTTCAAAATCATCAAACGGCATCAGATTAGCATGAAACTTGGCACACATGACCACCTCGGCATGAGAGACTTGTGAGAGAAGACAGGACTCGAATCGGGTTCCTGGTTTGAGAGTTATAATCGGATTTCGGTCTGGGCAAATTTGTTTACTTAATTATCTTTGTAACTGTATAGTTGTTAAATTTTTATGTTTTTTTGCTTCTTTTAGAATGTATGCCTGTGAAGAATGCGATTAACTTTTGTTTTTGTTACCCACAGAAAATGATGAGGAACACTTTTATTTTTGGTTTATATTATTTTGAATTGTGAACAACATTATTGTGGAGAAGTGGTTTGGAAATACTCTTCAAATCCTGGGAGACGCTAGTGATCCTCAGCTAGTCACCTAAAAAGATACAAACACTCCGGTCGGGGGTGCCGGAATTAGCACTCCGACGGATAAGTCAGTTCAGACACTCAAGATAGCTTGTTTACTAAGTTAAGTGAAGTGATTCTTACATACCTTTCTCAATCCATTGTTCTTGTATTTATATCTGTTCCTTTTGATCCTCGGAGCCAGGGCCTACTTTTTAATCATTGTCTTTTCTCTTATTCGGCTCTAAGGATCTACACCTATTCGGCACATATATTATATTCGGCTTCCCATTCTCGTAGGATACAGCCGATTAATATCAGTCTTTTAAGGTACGCACCTTCTGATTTTGCCATTATTCGGCTCCCACAATTGCTCCCCGAACTCCCCATTGACGGTAGTTAATCGGCGTGTTTGGTCTTGAATTGGAAAAGTCAAAATAGGTCAGGCGGCTTCGCGTACCCCAATACAGATGTCAGAATGCGCACACCTTTTCGGTCATCATTACACTTTCCCGCCTCATTTGTGCATCTCGCATTTATTGCGATTTGAAATTTCAGTCCTTTCGAGTGCACATTTCGTCGAGTATTCGAGACTCTTAGACCGCCAGCGGGTATCCCTTCTCTAACTCGCATTTTCTGCAACTCTTCTCCATCTACCCTCGTCCCCCTTGCCCCTCGTAAGTCTTCTTCTCTTTTCTTTGCAATCCTACTTTCTGTTTGTTATTTTAATTTTGGCGAATCCTTGATTCCCCGCGAAAATGGCTAAACACTTGAAAGGCCTCCTTTCTGAGGGTCGTGTTTTCGGATTCGGGCGACACTTTTCCATCCCCGACGATGTTTATCTGTCTCTAGTGACGGACAATACTCTGGATATGGAGAGAGAGGATCGAAATTCAATCGTCTTTCCTCTCTTATCCATTGCAGAGGGCGGGGTTCGATTTCCCTTACATCCATTCCTTAGGGCCGTCCTTCGCCATTGGGGTCTGATTCCTTTTCAGCCCAACGTGAACTTTTTTCGAATCATAATGGGGATCGTAGAGTTGAACCAGCGCCTCAGGACCGATCTTGGCATTCCGGCCATTCGGCACTGCTATGCTTTAGCCAAATCTTCCGGTCGGCTTGGGCGGTACTTTCTTAGGGCCAAGGATACTGACCATCATTTGGTAACCATGCTTGTCAGTTCTGGTAAGCGTGTGGACGACGTAATGGTCAATGTCCGAGGGAATTGGGAATTTGGCGAAGGCGAGGGTCGCCTAGACCCTATTCCCAGACGGAGGGGTGAACCAGGTTGCCGTGTGTCTTCTTGCGTTTATTGAACTTTTCTTTCACTCGGCCTTCTCTCCATGTTTAACCCTTTGTCTTTGCAGGCAGTAAATTGAAGAAGATTCTAGTTTCTACTGACGATGCAGTCCTTGCGCAGATTGCGACTGCACTCGGATACTTCGGCCGTCCAAACGTATAGAAGCAAGGGAGAGCGGCCCACATACTTCTTCGATACGAGCCTACTTACACTACTTTTTCGGCCGCTGACAACATTCCGATTCCATCCGGCGATCAACACCTTGCGGCTCTTATCTTTCTTAGCTTCAGGAGCCTTAGGCAAGTTGGTCTCGAAGCTTCTGATTCGGGGCAAGACGTGGAGCCGGTGGTAGAGGTAGTCGCCGAACCAGCCAGAGAGTTCGTTGAGGAGGCCGAAGAGGTTGACGAGGCTCTAAACTCGGTGTTTGAGGCAGCCAGACTTAGTTAGCCTACCTCGTCGTCCACTTCGGGTCGGGCGGAGTTTTCTTCTGGAGATATTTTTGGAAGTTTGGGAGACCTACCTGGCGATTTTTTTGAAGGTATGGCTGGGGAAAACCTCACGCAGATGGCTCGAAAGAAAAATGCCGAGCGAATGGCTGCCCGGAAAAAGGCCGAGGCTGCCCGTTTTGGACCTGCCTTGATTGAGTCTTTCGAACCCGTTATTGAAGAGCCAGCTCAGATTGTTGCGGCCAAAACGATGAAAGAGGTTGAACAACCGGTCATTGAAGAATGGTTGATTCCAGACGAGCGGGGCAAGAAGCGTAGCGCCGAGGGATGGGCCGGTTCGGAAGATAGTCCTGCTGACAAAAGGCCTCGCTTAGAAGAATCGGATGTGGTTGTTCATTTCATTGTTCAGCCAAAGATCAGAGACACGCCGATTTCCTCTGACGCATCCATCATTACCGACCCAGCGGTAGCTTTGAGCTTGGCGGCCTCAGTCTCCCTACCAGCTGATAAGGCATCCTTCCATGCCGT